AGCAAACGATTAACGTATCCCATTCTAGTCAAAATTCTAGTACTACACTATATTTGTTTTGATTTGCTATGAAAGTTTGACAGGTAAAATGAGGGGTTCGTGGATTTTTCTATGTTTCGAGGGGTGCATCGATTAGCTTGGGACCGAAGATAGTATCAGAGCTGAGCCAAAAAGTTGAGCACGTATCTTCGGGACCTTCTGGTCTTAGAGTTACCTCTATGGTATTACCGCTAGGGTGGTTCAAAGGAAGAATAGTCACAGACATTAAAACCTTAATATCTTCGTTATAAGCGAAAATTGAGATATAGTGTAGAACATTTTCTGGCATGGTTTGGGTATGTCACACCGATTCGAATTCACCCTGTATATGTAATGTCTCCAAAGTGTTTGTAATCAACACATATCAAAATTAAATGTATTATATTTTCCTTATGTTAACTACGGTGAGGTCAGTTAATTTCCTATAGTTGTTCATGGAGACTCAATACACAACTATAGAAACCTAACGCTTCTAACGTACCGCAACTATAAGAGCGTTTACCCTATCAGAATCAGCCATTTGATAGCAAAACGGTATAGTGTATAGCCTCCCTGGCGTCGGTAGCATTGGTACTCAGCACGGAAAAAAAACATAACTTTTGAACCATTGATCAAAACATCAAATGGTTTATGGTTTTATGGTTTGTAATATGTATTATACTTTTCCTTAATGCTTTTTGCACAACATCAAAAAACTCAGTGGTGTTTTTTCTTTGTTTTTGAGTTATATTTTTAAAAGATATCAAGTTTTGGGTTTTCGCTCAATACTCCTATGCGACTAGACTACCATGCGTCTCCAATGATTTATAGCGACTGTAGCGGCACTTTATCTATACTTATTTCAATTTCTGATCCTAGACTACCAGAGACTTCAATCAAATTTAAAAACTCAAGATTTGATATTGAAATTAACTCAAACACGAAAAAAACATTGCTTTTTGATATGTTGTGTAAAAGCGTATATTTTCAAGGAATATTAAAACATATTGAGGCCTCTGTCTACAAAAACCTTTTACGTAGAAAATATTTTAGGAACTATGACGGTCACTTTCATCATTAATTTGGAGGTTAGGTTATATATATATATATCCGCATTGCGAGCTGCTTTTTTGTAATGATTTGCCAAAATAATATCATGATGATGATGATGATGGTCCCACCGCTTACCACTACAAAGGTTTGAGCTGAACGATTTATCTTTAAGATAATTAAATATATCATTTGAAACATTTGAGCAAACAAAAACGAACTGGTAACAAACAGTTACAGATATAAATTCCCTCTACAGTTTACAGTTGCTTCACAGCTACATAAATGTGAAAAGCTTGTCCGACAATTGAAGAAAGAACAGAGTTGTGAAAAAGCTTAGGCGTCCACGTCTTAGTTCGCGATTTTGTCCACCTAAAATATTCATAAGCTAGCGATCAAGAGTTCATTAACAATCAACAAAGCATCCTAATACACTAGCAACCTCGCTATCATAATTTTCAGCAATGTCAGGAATGCACACGAACCCCCCAACGTCAGCTAGAAAACTAACTGCTAACTCCAGGCTAAGCTTCAAAGTTGCTTTTATTTAATCAAATGTTAAAATCAATCATCTATATCCGTAATATGCGCGCGAGAGGGTCAAACCTTTGTAGACTACTCAAAATTACTTTTGTTAAGCTACTACTATTAAATAAAATATCAAAAATCCATCATCACCAACGTGGCGAACAAAATAGTTTTTGCTAAAAACTTGTAGTTAACGAAAATGATCGTAGTTTGAACCTGGGACGGGACTTGACAATCGGGTAGCGATTTCGAGCCAATTTGCTGTCAAATCCGAGCCAGTTTCTGATTGGTCGATTTGACAGTAGCAATCGTGGAATAAAAAGGACAGAGGGATCGCATCAATCTGGCTAGCAGTGATGCCGGAATCGATGTTGACGTGAATGGCATTGTTAATTTTTTTATATTTGCGAAAGGAAAGTTGAAAAATTGAGTGCATTGCGTGTTTTAAGCGTTGGATATTGTTGTTTGTTTATGGTTGTTTTTATTGTGTTGAGCAAAAATGATGCACATGTTGCTAAGCTGCGGAAGGAACTCCGCATAAAATCCAAATTAATATAGAATAAATATTTTACATTCCTGGCATCCTTGGTCAACTCCGTCAAACACCACGCACAAGTTTCCGAAGGGTATTCTTCAAAAACATTAAGAAGAATGAGAAGCTCGATTGTCAAGTCCCGTCCCGGGTTTGAACCTCTGCCACCCTCCTCTATTTGTCACTGTTGAGGACAAACTCGTGCGTGATTTCGACGATTATCCTGCTACGGTTTCTTATGACTTCCGTAAAGCTGACCACCGTAGCATCATAGATGTATTGTCTAGCATGGTATGGGAGAACATCCTTGATCCAGATTTCATTGACAGACACGTCCCGAAAAGAACTCACCACAAAGTGTCTCACCCTCCCTGGCAGACGAGAGAGCTACGTTGGTTGAAGTCAATCATGAGAGCAGAATTGAGAAGATTTACGAAGTATTGCACGCTTCCTCTGAAACTTCATTATGTAAGGCTGAATCACATGTACCAGCAAATCAGCCGTGAATGCTTTTCAAGTATCCAACGAGGCAACCCAATTTTGATTCTATTTTAATCATTTTTGATTGAATTTTAATCTTTTTTGTTTGATTTTTAATATTTTTTTGATTATTTATTAATATACTAAAATAATAAAATTTAATACTGAAAAGATAAATTTTTATCACAAGTGATTATTTCGAATTTAATCATGCATGACTACCGCTGAAGCAATCATGCATGGCATCATGCAGAAATCAATAACGTGAAGGGGGAATTTGTATCCCGAAAAAAAAAATTACAGTGAAATTTTCAGTGGAAACAATGCTCTAACATTAATATTTATTGTCGACAATAAAAATGATTGTTATGATGTTGCACCCTTCCGAAAACGCAAAACTGCTACCTAGATGTACAATGATTGTACATAATAAAATGTTTTTACAATGATTTTTATCGTATTTTTCATTTATTTTATTGTTAACATGATTCGGTCATGGACATTAATGAACAACTTTATTACAATAAAAATTGTTGTTACATTAAATATTGGTGTGTTTTCATTGTGGGTTACCTCACGAACAATAAAAATAAATCTGATGAAGCATGCAGACTATAAGAGGATCAGCAACACTGCCAATGTAATCAAGATAGGCGCTGCTCGTATGGCTCTGGCTTTGACAGTTCGTTTGGCTCAAAACCAGCCAGTCCGCGTCTGCTCCACTCTTATCCTAGACCCTCTCTAAAGCTGGGTTAAGATGGTTCAATTCAGCGTTCAACTCACTTGAACGCTTGAACTGCGAAATGAACGTCCAGAAATCTGACCGATATCGGACTTGCTCTATTCGTTGCCAAGTCAATTGAACGCCTACGACCATATCGGTTTGAGTTGAATTCAACTCACCTGCCTCATCTAAATCCCGCTTAATGCAGACCTTTTCCGTGCAATCAATAATCATACAATAATAATAAATCCACCCCCTTCCCATCCCGGGCGATGTTTTATTTTTTCGATTTCTTTTTGAAGTCGGTAAAGTAGATCTGTCAAGTCAACACATACACTTAAAAGCACACTGTTATTTTTTTTAATCAATAAATTCGCCAACCAACAGTAAAATAACAATAATAGGGGAAAAGTTGGCTTCGGCAATACCTTAACCTATTATCGTCAGGGGGTAAACAACGTCCTTGAGATCTCAATTTTGGCATGTGGATACATTGTGTTTCAGAGCAACTATTGGCCAAATTTGAGTGCTCTAGGACCACAAACGAAGTGACAGACGACTAACTGGCGAAGAAATCCATTAAAATAATGTGGTTCACTGTAATAGAATTTTCTTGGAAGCTTGTGCCATCATCCACCAGATGGGTTAGTTTTTTTGTTTTGATTTGAACAAAGTTGATTTTGTGTACAATGATTCTTTGACAGTGTGCAAAGAGTGTATCATTTTTTTTATGCATTTCAGTTTTGAGTAGAGTGAAAGAGATAGAAGCAAAACATTCTAATACATTTGGTGAAAATGCTAGTACAATCCAGTAGTAGTGTTGCCATGTGGTACAATCTAGTAGTAATGGTGTTGCCATGTGGTACACTGAAAAATTGAAATAGCAGGTTAGTCACCAAAGTTTTCGAGCCGCTCCGTCTGTCACTTCGTTTGTGCTAGGACTTTGTTTACCCCCTGACGATAATAGGTTAAGGTTTTGCCGAAGCCAACTTTTCCCCTATATAATGTTATTGAAAAAAAATATATGGGGAAATCTAGAAAATTTCATTATTAAGATACTTAACAAACCCCCGTTTTTATTGTAAATTTACCATGAAATTTACTGTTTAGTACGACATAAATCAAGGTAAATTTATTGTAGACGTAACAATATAAATCATTGTTAAGCCAATAATTTTCGTCTTATTGTTACATTGTTTTTTAATGTATTTTTGTTGTTATTTTTTTCGGGATATGTTTTAAACTTTTTGATTTCATTTAAATTTGAGTGTAACCTCCCCTTATAAAAATGTTATGGTTAATTTGCTTAACGACGTGTTCAAGGTATCATCCAAACCATTTGTGGAATAGTTCAATGATTTGAGTTATCGTTCGTTCATGGTAATTTTTTATTAGGGTCACACCAACTTTTCTCTCTAATAAAATTGTTGTGGTTATTTTGTTTAACGACGTGTTCGGGGTATTATCCAAACCATTTATGGAATAGTTCTATTATTTGGGTTATCGTTCGTTTATGGTATTATTATTAGGACTATCCACTCATTGAATTTATTTGAAGTGGTGAAATCGCTCTTTCACTGTTTTCTGTTTCTACATGCACAAGCTCAGCCACAGGGCATCATGTTTACAATAGGCTGCATAATTTGACAGTTCGTGTACGTGAAAAAAGTGTTTTTTTTTTATAATTCCAGTGGATCTGTTCCGTAAAGTTTTGAATGTTCTATTTTATATTTATTATTAAGACAGTTCTTCTCAATAACACGGATAGTTTTATCAAAAATAACTAGTATCGATTATGGCATCGAATGGAGATGGTGATTCTTTTCCTGCGAACGTAACAATTTTGCAATACTTGTTGGAAAATGAGACAACTGCGAAAACCACGGGCGTTGGTTCGAATGCAAAAGAGCTCAATGTTCCGGCGGATCGGACAGAAAACGGAAGTAAACAGCCGGATCCAGAACCCATTACGGTTTATGAATGCCGTAAGACCGGTTGTGACAAACACTACTTGCAATTGGAACATCTCAAGGCACATGAAAAAATCCATTCGGGTGATTTGGTGTGCAAATGGGAACAATATCCTGAGGAACATAAACAAGAGATTGCCGGAGGAAGTGGACTGAAATTTCTGTTGCAAAATGAAAACCTAGAATTAGTATACGAGCACGATGAAACAGAATCAGAAAACGATGATCAACAATTGGATGAATCCGATCGGTACTCTGGATCCAACGATGAAATAGAAGAGATGGAATGTCTGCCAGAAATTCCTACAGACGATGAAGCCGAAATGTCGGATGCTAACGACCAATATCAGCAAAGCACTGATGAAGGAGAAAAACACGTGATACATGTATTTGACACGGATATCAATTTAGAAGAGAACTTCATAATCCTGGAAGAAGACCCTGATGAGTACGTGCAAATAAACACAAATCAAGATCAGCCTATGCGAACCACGTCAACCAAGGCTCGCAAGTATAACTGCCCATGGGAGGGATGTGGGAAATCGTATACAAAATCTTCGCATGTAACCGCCCACCTCCGAGTTCATACCGGTGAGTTGCCATTTGTTTGCACTTGGGAAGGCTGTGATGGTCGGTTTGCTCGAGCGGAAACTCTCACCAGACACTTTCGGAAGCACTCAGGAGAGCGCAATTTCGTTTGTCCTGTTTGCAATGCATCATTTTTGCGTAAAGATCACCTACGTGGCCATATGAAACGACACAATATCGATCGTTTCGTGATTGAAAAAGTGATCAAAAGCCCTGAGAAATCGAAACCGCCTACATCACTGAAGCTCTCAGCCATTTCATCCAGACAAGCTTGTAAGCCCAAGCGAAAACGAAAGCCATCGACACCTGCTGCAGCTTCGACCCGGAATCACGTTTGTACGTACCCTGACTGTAAGAAAAGCTACACAAGAGCCAGTCATTTGAAGGCCCATGAGATTTTACACGGCGAAGTTCTTCCTTTTCGATGCCCTTGGGAGGATTGCGGACGTTCCTTTGCCCGATCGTTCGAGTTGTCGCGGCACAGGAGGCAACACACGGGGGAAAAGAAATTTGTTTGCCACATTTGCCAGCAGGCGTTCATGCGGAGTGACCATCTTTCGATGCATGTTAAGAGGCATAGTTTTAGGGCGGTAAATATTCGCTGCTGACATTGGATTTGATCTAATTTGCTAATAAGTTTTTCATGTTGTTTTCAGCATAAAGACGACCAGTAAAACCATTAGAGATAATCAACAAACGACTGAAATATGTACATATTGACCTATAAACGTAAACGTAATAAAAATACCAATGACTAACTGATTAAAAATCTTATCGTTTAAGTTAAAATAAGTACAAAATGGATGTATGTGTGTCCAAGATTGTTCAAGTCATTGATGCAATAACATTTTTTATCCGAAAGACCAAAGCTATCCTGTCATAGATTAAGAGAAAATTGACGACATCCGTTTCGAGCCTTATTTCAAGAGACGTGTCGATCAAGTGTTGGAAGACGCTCGCCGTATCGGTGGATGGGACCTGATTTATTTTGGGCGCAAACGATTGGAAGAGGATGACGAAAAATGGGTATCGGGATCTGATAATCTAGTTGTGGCTGGCTATTCCTACTGGACCTTAGGCTACCTAATATCGTTGCAAGGGGCACGAAAACTTTTGGCTGAAAAACCTCTCGAAAAACTGGTTCCTGTAGACGAATACATACCGATCATGTTCAACAATCATCCAAACGAGTCATGGGTGAGCCAGTTTAAAAATAGGAATTTGGTTGCCTGGAGTGCAGCGCCGTTGCTTCTTTATCCAACTCACTATACGGGTGACGAAGGGTACATTTCGGATACCGAAGATTCGGCTCGGATTGATAATTTTAGCAAAGTCAACAACGATATTCAATTATTCCAACAATCTTAAAACCCTTGTTTTTTTCAGTTTTTAGACGCAGATGTTCTACTCACGAATCCTCAAACGCTTTCCAAATTGGTCAGCTTAAACCTACCAATCGTTGCACCCATGCTCCTATCAGATGGTTTGTATTCCAATTTTTGGTGTGGAATGACCGCGGATTACTACTACCAGCGAACAGACGAGTATAAAGAAATCCTCAACAACGATAAAACCGGTCAATTTAGCGTCCCAATGGTACACAGTGCGGTCATGGTCAACATCAATGTTCATCAATCACTGCAACTTACTTTCAACATGAAACGGTTCCCAGCTGGGCTTTACAATGGACCTCAGGATGACATAATCATTTTTGCCATGTCCGCTAACTACAGCTCTATTCCGATGTACATTTCCAATTCAGCACTTTATGGCTATATCTTGGTGCCATTAGAGCAAGGCGAACCACCGGAGAAGGATTTGGAGCAACTTACCAACACCAAAGTTTACGTTATTAACGAATATGGTTCCGTGAATCTCAAAAAAGATCTGAAGCAATTTGTCAAGGGTATTCCCAAGTAAGACACTGCCTGAAGGGTTCTGTAAGAGTATGCTTCACTTACTTCTACCGTATTTCAGGGACAAAATGGACGTATCGCATATCTATATGATCAATTTGGAGAGGCGACCTGAGCGTCGGAATAAAATGTTCAATAACTTCAATGAGCTGGGCCTAGATGTAGACTTTTTCCCAGCAGTCGACGGTCGGCAGTTGAACGATGAAAAACTGCAAAAAATAGGAATCAAATTCCTTTCCGGTTATGCAGATCCGTACCATAACAGGTTTGTTTCGTAGTATTCTGTATACGTACTGTAACAGTAATATCATATTTACCTACCACGTATTTTTCAGACCGATGACCATGGGTGAAATAGGATGCTTTCTTAGTCATTACTACATTTGGGAAAAGATGGTCACGTTGAATCAACAGGAAGTTCTCATCCTGGAAGACGACATCCGTTTCGAGCCTTATTTCAAGAGACGTGTCGATCAAGTGTTGGAAGACGCTCGCCGTATCGGTGGATGGGACCTGATTTATTTTGGGCGCAAACGATTGGAAGAGGATGACGAAAAATGGGTATCGGGATCTGATAATCTAGTTGTGGCTGGCTATTCCTACTGGACCTTAGGCTACCTAATATCGTTGCAAGGGGCACGAAAACTTTTGGCTGAAAAACCTCTCGAAAAACTGGTTCCTGTAGACGAATACATACCGATCATGTTCAACAATCATCCAAACGAGTCATGGGTGAGCCAGTTTAAAAATAGGAATTTGGTTGCCTGGAGTGCAGCGCCGTTGCTTCTTTATCCAACTCACTATACGGGTGACGAAGGGTACATTTCGGATACCGAAGATTCGGCTCGGATTGATAATTTTAGCAAAGTCAACAACGATACCTCGGAGAGTTCTGCAGAGAAAAAAGGCGACAAAGAGCAATTGAGCAGTAAATCATTAATGGACTCCACTATTACCAGAGACGAGCATGAACTGAGCGTTACTAATCGGAGGAACGAGCTTTAGCATCGGTCCAAGCACATCAGACGAGTGTCATAACTGCCAGGGCATGCATCGAACTAATTAATTATAACATGGCGAGTGCAAACTGAGATAAAATCATAACATTGAAATTAAGCAAATTTTACAAAAGCAATGGAAACGCTACCAAAAAAATCTATGTGCCTTATAGTTTTAAGGGTTGCAATTTAAACATTTTGAACAATTTATAGCTTAACATTTAAAAATCCATAGTTGAATGTCAATCAAAAAGAAAATCCTAATATTTCCTGCAATACGGAAGCACTAAGCACCATTGAACAGTGCCTCCGTTTGATTATATATCTCAAGAAATTGGAACTCCCCGTGAAGTTCCAGTTTACTTGTTATATGTTAAGTCTACTTTTAAGTGTTATCTACTGCCTTAAATCGTTGTACTGCTCCTTATCTCGCTCCATATTAGAATACTGCTCGGTTGTCTGGACTCCTCATTACAACAACGATGTCGAAAGAGTTGAGTCTGTTCAGCGACGGTTCCTGAGATATGCGCTACGTAAACTGCCGTGGACGGATCCCTTCCGATTGCCTAGCTACGAAAGTCGTTTGCAACAGATCCATCTGGAGCCCCTGTAGGTCCGAAGAGATACAGCCGGGGCATTGGTAATGGCAGATATTTTACAAGGACGCACCGATTGCCCTGTTCTCCTTGAGCAAATTGACATCAATGTTCAACCCAGAGCCCTACGGAATAATTCTGCGCTTGCCCATACAGCGAACTAATTATAGCATGTTCAGCGCAATCGGTGGTTTACAGAGACTCTTCAATAGGGTCTCCGCACTATTTGACTTTGACCTGACTCGCCAGCTGCTTCGCCAGGGGTTTACTTTTTTTTCTAGATCAGTTTAGTTTGTCTACACTGCAAATAACATTCACGTAATATTTACCTGAAAAGGTACGTAGATATTTTCCTACCTTTCAGGTGAATATTACGTGTTTTGGGATTGACATTCCGTTCAAATGATGCACATAAAAATCATGTGATTTTCACGTAAATTTTACCGGATCAACAGATGGTATTCAAATTGGCAACACTTTAAAGTTACGCGAATTTTCAAGTAATTTTCACAGGGTTTTATAGTTAGTTTTAAGTGAATTTGTTGTAAATTTCGATTTATTTTTTCATGAAGTGTATGAAGCCATTTATTTTGGTAACACATTTATTTTCAAAGTGTTTTATTAAAATAAAATTTGTCTTTAATTGATGCACCACCTATTTCATGATTTCACTAGATCTAATGCCTGTTTTTTCCTCATCCTGTTGTGGAACTGCTTCTAGAAAGACTCACATTTTTTACTTTAGGAAAGGGTTTCAGTTTCTGGGAGGTCGGTATTTTCTTTAAGATCGCTGATTTCTGTATAAGAGAATAGGAAGCGAAAATTGATCTTCGTTCTATTTTTTTCTTTCAATGTAAATATTTGATTCTCACCATTTATTTTAGCCAGGAACTGATAATCTGAAAGCTTTAAAAAATCCCCTGTTTACTGGAGAAATCTTGTGGCTCGCAATTTGAAATTATGAGTTGCCCAAATAATCTGATCCTGCATTCGTCTTTTTTTTTTTTTTTTCATTTCTAGATTAATAAAACTTAAGATTATTTTCTGGATTCCAATGAATGTTAAAAACTGGGCTGTCTGGCAATCCTAAATCATCCAACAATGGGGAATGCCAATACTTTCTTCTGTCACCATCTTGAACTTACGAGGTTACGCACAGAACATTTGTTGTGAATGCGATAAATTAGCAATAATTGAAGAACGTTCTCGAATCACCCAAGACGATGCAAAGAAGTAAAAGTTCAAAGTCAAATATAAACAGCTGTTCTGTTTATCATCCCTTCTGCTTAGTTTAGGAGTCAAGTGCACCCTAGACGTATTTATTCTGGAAGGATTGCGTTGGTCCCGAAATGCCTCACATGATCTTGAAGAAGAACGATGGATAAGTTTAGATTAGGAATACTTTCTGTCTCTTTCGTTATAATCAACATTACGTTAGGAAGATCTTAGCAGGAGACAAATCTTTCTAGACTCAAACCCCTATATAAGGCAAATTTTGTACTTAATAAATCGAATGTTTTCGTAAGTCTTAAAACGTCTGTCGATCTGTTAAGATCCGAATTCATTCCAGCCATTACCTTCATCAGGTTTTAAACTAAGATTACTGATGAGACCAGAATCTCTAATTTAGTGAGAAGTTCAGTCCTCAGTCTACAATCAAAGACCAAACACCTGATGCTAAAGTCACTCCTTTTCTTTCTATCAAAATCTGAACCACGCTATTGTAACAGTCTCTTAATTTAGTAGATTAACTGTCTTAGCGTCTTGAACAGTTTTTTGATAGAATCGTCCCGGCAGGGCAACGGCGTACCATTTAAACCGTTCGGCGTGGTAAGTAAACCTTCGCGTGATTAAACAAAGCTCGGGACAGCTTGTTTTAACTCCTTTGCTATCCTTACCGAACAACATTTTCACGCCATGAGATCACGGAAAATTTACTTGAATTTCACATAACCTTCACCAGCATGACACATGACGACCAGTAAATCCAGTATATTTCATTAACATGTCGTTGAATTTAATTTGTAGCTTGTAAATTTTATTAGAATCTTGTTTTTAAAAAGTCACCTGAATTTTCAGGTAAAATTAAAGTTTGTTATTGGTTCAGTGTAGCAATGTTCCTTTTTTTTACGAGATGACTATTGACTTATTTAGGCTCTGAACCATTTGGTGGATTATTTTAACTTTTGGTTAAAATTTGACAGATGGAAAGTTATCGATTAACCCTGCTATCCGAGCATGGTTATTTCTGACAGACAAGAAGTTAAATTTTGACAACCGTGGGTTGAAAACCGGTCGATCGACAGCACGGGGATTTTCGAACATAGAAAATAACTTTGGAAATGTCACTTTTAACCACGAGTTAAATTTAACTCGGCAAATGGTTCACAGCCTTATGTTTAGCTTTAGGCTGTGAACCATTTGCCGAGTTAAATTTAACTCGTGGTTAAAAGTGACATTTCGAAAGTTATTTTCTATGTTCGAAAATCCCCGTGCTGTCGATCGACCGGTTTTCGAGCCACGGTTGTCAAAATTTAACTTCTTGTCTGTCAGAAATAACCATGCTCGGATAGCAGGGTTAATCGATAACTTTTCATCTGTCAAATTTTAACCAAAAGTTAAAATAATCCACCAAATGGTTCAGAGCCTTAGTACTTTTCATGTTTAGTTTAGGTTGCATCATTGGCGCCAATGACGCCTGTTGATGTTTAGTCATAAATAAATAAATAAATAAGTGAGAGCTGATATTGGTGTTCTTGAAATTTCGAGGTGAAAATGAGATTTATCAGAAATAAAGCTTCCACAGCGGTTCACCTTAAAAAACGTGAGGCCCTATAGAAGCAGTTCCACCCGGGATGAGGGGCACTATAAAATCATGTGAAAGTTACATTAAAATACACGTAACTTAAGTGATGCCTTCTCGAATATCATCTGTTGGTCGGGTAAAATTTACGTGAAAATCAATTGATTTTTTTATTCACCACTTAAACAGGATTTCATTCCTAAAACACGCAATATTCACGTGTTCGGGGTATCATCCAAACCATTTGTAGAGTAGTTCTACTATTTGGGTTATCGTTCGTTTTTGGTAATTTTTTTATTAGGGACATCCTCGTCCATGGGCGCAGCATAGAAGACCATGATGCCAATGACAACTTATCCGAAGTGTTCAGCAGACTCCAGCAGCATAATGTGAAATTGAACACATTTAAATGTGTCTTCGGTAGCCGCTCTGTAAGAATTCTGGAATTCAAGGATAGAGTGAAACTGATGAGAAGATGAGCACCATCAAGAGCTTTCGTATACACCAACATCCTGTGCGGAAGTTAAGGCTCTGAACCATTTGGCGAATTTTTTTAACTTTTGGTTAAAATTTGACAGATGGAAAGTTATCGATGGACCCTGCTATTCAAGCATGGTTATTTCTGACAGACAAGAAGTTAAATTTTGACAACCGTGGGTCGAAAACTGGTCGATCGACAGCACGGGGATTTTCGAACATAGAAAATAACTTTCGAACTTAACTCGGCAAATGGTTCACAGCCTAATACCATAGAGGTAACTCTAAGACCGCTGGGTCCCGAAGAAAATCATTATTATTTTTGGCTCACTCAGTACCAGAACAACCGTCCCAAGCAGTCCCAAGCTATTTCACTCACCCCTGCATGTTCTGCATGAATCCACACACCCCTGATGTTATCTGTCAAACTTTCATAGCGAATCAAAACAAACATAGTGTAGTAATAGAATTTCAACTAGAATAGGGTACGTTAATCGTTTGCTTGGGACCAATAGGCTTCTAAAGTGGTGAGCCAATTTAAAGTCGTTAGTTTCGTATTGATTGTTGCTAATACCCCGTACATACTATGGTTTATATCATGTAATATATGCTGTCTTGCAATGAGCACTCATACATCTAGTTGTCACTGGAAATCCTATGTATGAGTGCTCATTGCAAGACAGCCTATATTACATTATATAAGCCATAGTCTGTACGGGGTATAAGAGTCTTTTTTTACGGGTTGGTGACGTTCGTAAACCGGTTTATCCAACGAAGAGCTGACTTCACGGAACAGCTACCAGCGCTCGCGCTCGGAAACGTTGAAAATTTTTATTGGACGGAAAGAGAAGAAAATGACTTTATCTTCCTACAGGACAAGGCGTTTAAAGTTCGTGATTAAAGATTGTACTCGAAAAAAAAGCAACACTTTCTTTTGTGTATAACTTTTTATTGTATGGGTAAAAATTGATAAAATTTTGAGTAAAACTAGTTTAGAGTGTAATGTTTACATGTGCAAAATCTCGTCACAATTTGTCAAGTGGTTATCGAGATGGCTTCCAAGCAAGAAGTGCTTCGGAAAATTCAAGCCAGTCCCACGGGTGGATCGCGAAAAGTTTGGAATCGACAATTCGACCGTGTCCCTTGTGGTAAAATCGTTCAAGAAGACCCAGATGACCCAGCGGCGAGCTTTTTTTTTTCCTTTGGTTTGTTTTTTTCCGTCGATCTTGTTTTCCGTGCTGAGCACCAATGCTACCGACGTGCCAGGAAGGCAGCTCCCACACCTGGACCCTACCTATCGACCCATCAACTCATGAACCGGGGACCAACGACTTTACTTCCCATCCGAAGGAAGGCGTGATCAGAGACGTTATGCCTCGGAACATCCCGGTGGCGCCGACTGGGATTGAACCGAGGCCTGCTGGGGTGAGAGGTAATCACGCTTACCACTACACCACCGGCGCCGTTCAGCGGCGAGCTGGCAGCGGAAGAAAAGCGAAGACGACCGACCCCGTGAACGCAAGGAAGGTGAGGAATTACTTCAAGCGCAATCAATGCGAACCTTTCGATTCGGGACGTGGCCAAGAAGGTCAATTCTTCCGTCTGGTTCATCCAGCAGACAATGAAGCTGGTCGGACTTCATGCCTTCAAGGTAAGGAAGGCGCCTAACCGAACTGATAAACAGAATACGGTGGTCAAATCCCGCACCAGGAAGCTGCACCACGAGTTTGGTGCAGCCGAAATGCATCATAATGGACTACGAGACGTACATTAAAGTGGATGCCAAGCAGATCCGTGGCCTGGACTTTTTCATCGGCAAGTCCCGCCTGGATGTTCCGGAAGAAGAAGGTTTGACAAATTTGCCATGAAGTGCTTAGTGTGGCTGGCGATCTGTGGGTGCGCAAATTCAGCAAGCCGTACATAACGACCGGCACCCTCAACGACCAAATATATAAAGAAGAATGCCTCCAGAAGCGCCTGCTGTCCTTCCTCCGTTCCCACGAAAGTGACACTCTGTTTTGGCCGGATCTGGCATCGTGCCATTACGCGAAACCGGTGATGATGTGGTACGAAGCCAACGATGTTTTTGTGCCGAAGGAGGCAAATCCGCCAAACTCGCCAGAACTTCACCCAATAGAAAAATTCTGGGCGATGCGGTTCTTGTTCAATATAACATGGATAACGAGCCCCGCATAATAGCTTGTGCTTCTAAGGCGCTAACTCCAACGGAGCAACAGTACCCTCAAACTCAAAGAGAGACATAAGGCGTTGTATGGGGGGTTGCACGTTTTACTTTAATCGTTTGCTTGGGACCAATAGGCTAGTCAAGTAATTTAAAATCGTTAGTTTCGTATTGATTGTTGGTAAAACGCTGTCCAGACTGGAGAGTTATAACAACAATCAATACGAAGCTAACGATTTTAAATTGGCTCACTACTTGACTAGCCTATTGGTCCCAAGCAAACGATTAACGTACCCCATTCTAGTCGAAATTCTAGTACTATGCAATGTTTGTATTGATTCGCTATGAAAGTTTGACAGATAAAATGAGGGGTTATTGGTTTTTCCTATGTTTCGAGGGGTGAATCGATTAGCTTGGCACCGAAGAAAGTACCAGAGCTGAGCCAAAATGTTGAGCAAGTTATTTCAGAACCTTCTAGTCTTAAACGCTGTCCAGACTGGAGAGTTATAACATGTTATAACGGTTGTCAACTAATTGCAACACAGAAACCACCATCAAGATAGCGCTATAACATTTTATAACTCTGTAGTCTGAACGTACTATAAAACTAACAATCAATACGAAACTAACGATTTTAAATTGGCTCACTACTTGACTAACTCTAAGACCAGAAGGTCCCGAAGAAACGTGCTCAACTTTTTGGCTCAGCTTTGGTACTCTCTTCGGTCCCAAGCTAATCGATGCACCCCTCGAAACATAATCTACAAACCCCTCATTTCATCTGTCAAACTTTCATAGCGAATCAAAACAAACATAGTGTAGTACTAGAATTTCGACTAGAATGGGGTACGTTAATCGATTTGCTTGGGACCAATAGGTTAGTCAAGTAGTGAGCCAATTTAAAATCGTTAGTTTTCAATTTTGGCAAAACGAGTGAGCTTTGCTTTCAAATCGATACGGGTTCCGACGTGATGATAGTACCATAGAGGTAACTCTAAGACTAGTAGGTCCCGAAGAAAATCATTATTATTTTTGGCTCACTCAGTACCAGAACAACGGTCCCAAGCAGTCCCAAGCTATTTCACTCACCCCTGCATGTTCTGCATGAATCCACACACCCCTGATGTTATCTGTCAAACTTTCATAGCGAATCAAAACAAACATAGTGTAGTAATAGAATTTCAACTAGAATAGGGTACGTTAATCGTTTGCTTGGGACCAATAGGCTACTAAAGTGGTGAGCCAATTTAAAATCGTTAGTTTCGTATTGATTGTTGATAGTACCAGCGACGAGAAAAGAAAAACAGTGCGGTCCAATCATAGAGGTAACTCTAAGACTAGAAGGTCCCGAAATAACGTGCTCAACTTTTTGGCTCAGCTCTGGTACTCTCTTCGGTCCCAAGCTAATCGATTCACCCCTCGAAACATAGTAAAAACCAATAACCCCTCATTTTATCTGTCAAACTTTCATAGCGAATCAAAACAAACATTGCATAGTACTAGAATTTCGACTAGAATGGGATACGGATACGTTAATCGTTTGCTTGGGACCAATAGGCTAGTCAAGTAGTGAGCCAATTTAAAATCGTTAGTTTCGTATTGATTGTTGGTCCAATTCCGTTCGTGCTTCACGCTGCCAATGTTTCAGATATAAAAAAAAACATTCTTCGAAGTTTATTTCAGCTCATACACAGCAAAAAAAGTTGTTGAATATTACATCGAAACTGATGCAACCAGGTCAATCCATCGGTTGTGTAATATCACATTGTACGATGTACATCGATTTTGCGAACAAAATTACATCCATTGTTGTAATATTGTATCTGCTTTTTGCTATTACATCATTATTTCATACATCAGCTTGAATTACGTTGATCGATATTACATTTTTTTTTTGCTGTGTATGCATGCGGTTAGTCAACATTATGGCACGCACCACAAAGGGCCCACCGATTGCATAAAAAATGAGGAAAATGCTCCCGGACTAGTTTAAGGCAGCAAAGGAGAAATTCGCGCTGATGTCGAACCTGGGTATCTGCAGATCGTCTAGCAGCAGCTGGGCTAGCCCGCTCCACTGCATCCCAATAATAGAACGGACAGTGGAGCTTCGTTGGAGACTATCCACTGCTGAACAAGGTCACCGTTCCGGATCACTGTCCTCGATACGTCACGTGCACGATCTTCTCAATTCACTTAAAGGCTAGAGCATATACACTACCATAGGTTTGGAAAGAGCTTATCACCAGATCCCTGTTGAAACAACTGACATCCCCAAAACAGCTGTGATTACATCGTTCGTGTTGTTTAGTTCCCCCGAATGTAATTTGGCTTGTGCAGTGCAAGCCAGTCGTTCCAATGGTCTACGAATAAAATCTTCGGTGACCTGGACTTCGTAGTAGTTTTTATCGATGACATCAACTAGAAGAGCATATAATTCACGTGCGCATTGTTTTTGATCGTTTAAGGCAGGCCTACCCAACGTTTTTAAACCGTTGGCCAAATGCTAGAATCCATATCAGCTGAGGTTATGTTCAGAAAAAAAAAACTGCTCGTAATGTACCAGGTAGGGTATACCCATTCCGCACCTAGGGAAAACGCTCGATAAAAATGACTTCATTACCACGAGAAAATGCAATATCAGTACAATCATTCAGAGCAATTCGACAGTGAGTTTATGTATGCCTAACTGCGATGATAGATTCTCTCCATCGATTTTCTATTTGAATTGCTGCAGCTAAGGGAAGAAATTTTCTGAAATTGCCCAATACAGTGCTGTAACAGGTTGTATTGGCTATCAAAAGCAACAACAAACGCACCAAGAAATGTTAATGCAAGCGGGTTATTAACAAAAGAAAAAAATCGACGAAGAGAATCAATCATTGCAATTAGGCCATTATGAACGCTTACTGTCGAATTGTTAAGTGATAGTAACAGTGATCATTGATAGAACCAGCGATTCGATAAAATGCACTATAGTGAATGCCAAGCTTATTTTGTTGAATGCAAATCTTGTAATATGTTAGAGATGGAGAGCCAATTTGGCATTTTCATCATTTTCTTCTTTTCAGCAATCGTTAAAATGGGAATAACAAGGACAATAATAAAATAAACATAGCGTCTAAATCAAGATTCTGTAGGTCATGGAACAGGGTCGATAGGTATAGTAAATAAACCATCTCTACCTCTTTATTTTACAACCTTTTAACTATTATCACTGTTACTTTGACTATCCCCTATATTCAACAACTGTCCTTACTAACGGCATTTTAAAGTAGGATTCATTTGACCCCTGTGGTTATTATTCTGTGATGTCAAATCAATATCTCTACCCTGGTGCAGTATGGACAGTGATTTTTCACTGGAGACCTGGCCCTAGGACGCTGTGCTTGAAAACGAAAACGAAAGATTAAAATTTCCCTTTTCAGGTTCAAAATCTTTGAAAAAATACCGAATTGAACGATTTTTTTGCAAACGCAACACGGCAGTGATTGAAAAAAAAAATATTTTTTATTTTGTCATTTCAATTGTGTACATAACAACTATCCGTATGTTAATGAGCAAATTTGTTTCTAAATCGGTTTGCACAAGCTGGGAACACTTACTGAGCTAATTGTTCATTTCGTCTCGATTAAAACAAATTAAACTTGATTTTTTACACAAATATGTATAAGGGCTTACTGCTAAAAACGGTATTCGATGTTTGCTGCGTTGTCAACTGCAATACTGCTGCATTCTGTTCATTGGAGGTTCATCGTTTCTAATGTATAGAGTATTTCTACACGCGGTGTTTAGCTGCTTAACACATGAAGACTGATTTTATAAACTGTAAAAAAATGGTAAAAGAGGAAGAGATATGATGAAGATGTTAATATTAATCGCTTTATTCATAGAACACATTCACAAACCTCAGTCATGCCCATGCTGATTACGCCATCTTGGTTCGTGTCTTTAGCTTTGAACAGTTCAAAAGCCATCGTAAGGTGGAGAATGGCTGATATAAAGTCCGAGAGTCGCAGTGTACCATCTCTCCTCATGTATCTGAAAGATAGATTTTCTATTTTATAACAGTTCCCGTATGTGTCACATTTGATACTAATCAATTCACCTTAGTATAAGAATGGACAAAATATCGGTACTCAGTTGGAAGCCAACATCGTACAAAGCATCGCGGAATCGTTCCGCTCGAAGAATTCCTGACTTCTCCTTGGTATGCATTTTGAACACGCCCCACCAGGTCTTCAAATTGACCATGAATTTATTGAAATCGTTGAAATTGATTCGTCCTCGGTTAGTTTTCTGAAATATGATAGATGTGTGTAGTAACTCTTGTGCACTGTTCTTGGCCAAGAGTAAAACTTACATCCATCAGACAGACGACTTGTCGGCAAACTTCCAAACTGGCACAGCTTCGAATGTAATCGTTGGGAAGACAAGCTTCTAGCAATTCTTGAAGATCGAAGCAATTCAGTGTCCTGAAAGTACGTGATATGAAGAGTTTGTAAAAAGACTAATTGATAGAAACCAACAAACCTCTGATCGTCTGCCAACTGCATAAATACTGGTTCGTACTGAGCAGTGCTGGTTGCCGCAGCCACGTTATTATTATTAGCCGAGTCCATTGATATTTTCGCGTTCGAATTGAGAAGCGGAAATGGATCCAACAGAAGCATGGTCTGCGTTTCCAGCAGTGATAACCGAATCGTAGATCCCAAGACACGCACGCTAAACGATGCTTCTTCGGCGGGTTCGAACGTGGTAGCCATAATCAGGTAGCGTCCGGGATCTATCGAACATCGGTGACTTATCTGGCGTGAATTGGTATACTGTGAATTGACTAAACTTTTATGTTTCTTAAAGAAGTTCTTCGAGAGACAACCGTTGATGTTTTGAACTGAAAAAAACGTTGATTATGGACAAGTTTTTTTTTAATAATCAAAGCGGATCCTTACCGTTGTTGAGGTTGTATACGGTAAATCCGATCACTTTCGGTTCCAACACGCTGTGCTGGTTGACCGAGATTATCACATCCTCTTTTTCGCTTAGGAAGAGCTGTAGCTGCGGGTTTATGTGGAACGAGTCAGGATTATTACGGCAACCGCCTGCGGTGACGCCTCGCTTCCATGCACCCTGGTAGAGACGCATCAGCCAGCGTCGGTTTTTATCCGCCAGTTGAGGTTCGTCTCTCGCTGTGTCCGAGTCCAGATGTACGCATTCCAGGTGGCTGAATGTTTGTGTCATATCGAAGAACGACATCCAGAACTCGCCAACGTCCAGTTGTTCTATGAGACGGTTCCGTTCGTTCATGGTTACGCGTTCCCACGAGCTCGAAAAGGACGACCAATCTCCGTTGAACGTGGCGGATTTATTGAGAGTTTGAGCCACGGGATTTCGAAGTCGTACCAATTGAACCGTATCGCCCATGCTGGTTTCAGCCTAGAAACATGGAAATAAGTTATCATCTCTATGATATACCTACACATATGAATCGGAACTACCTTATCCAGTGAACATAACCGATAGTTAATTCCAACGTGTATCCCGTTGGGAAGTGCTTCGGTTTGATTCCGAATCTGCGTTGTAGTCCCATTGTTAACCGTACATGTCACAATGCTAGTAGTATCTAGTAGGGAGTGAAGTAGAGGGGGCCGAATCAAGATGTTACCCTCAGTTTTGATCGATATCGATTCGGTGATGCCTCCGGTGAGATCCGCTAGACCGTCTAGCAGTGTACCGTACTTTAAAGCTTCGTAGGACCCGTGTAATCTGCAATACATTATCGTTTTCAATTAAGGATATCAACATATGCTGATTTTCAACGTATGTACTTGGCATAGGCTTTTTCCAGCAGACCCGGCCAGAACGAGTTCGAGTTCTGAGCTTGCAGAAAAGCCAGCTTCCCATTGATTGTTGGTAATCTATCGTCGACTAGAACTTCCAACCACTCACCACACCACCACAGTCGGAAGCGAAACATTCCATAGTATGGCTTGTCAAAGTTCTGATCCGCTGGCACAACCCGATAGAACAGTCCTTTGGATAGATAGAGCACACCTAGACAACTAACGAGCCATCGATCGCCCATTTTGCCCGGCACAATATCGAACTGCGCCGTGGAGTCGTTGACGAACACCGGATTCTGGGTGATTTCGTGAGGTCGTTTCCATTGGAATGTGAAAGGCGGGGTTTGATGATAAAATACCGATGACTGAGTCGCCGGAAAGTCTTCGTCTTCCCAGAGGACATTTTTCTGCTTGCATTCCGCCTTGATTCTTTCATAGGAGGAAGTCATGGTTCCGAATGGCCGTCCGTTAATTACGTTGCGTTCCTGGACTGTGAAATGACTGCGGAGACTGTCCGTTGCCACACACGATCATCTCATCTCGTTAGGTGTAGGAAGATGTAATCAGTGGGGATGGCTACGAGCGCGGCACCGTATGTGCGTTTTGTTTTTCTGTAAAAAACCCGAGGGGAAGAAAACAATAATCAGTAACGGTTTATTATGGGTTTTATGTGCGTTTCGACAGAGACAAATAATAGACCATCGCAGAATTGCAGTTTGGAGCTATTATTTCCGATACAAAGCGTCTTCTTCAGCGTGAGTGATAATTGAATAATTTGGCCTAATTTTCTTATGTGGTTGTTTTGGATGGAAACATAATATATAAATCAGCGTATGGTTAGGGAATTAATAGTAATGATAATTGGGTTTGATTTTGTAATTTTAATGTATCAATAAACGCCAAATTAATGATATAAAGATATGATTGTTATTGACCTTTTCGGTGGTCGCAAGTCAGTCTCAGTTGCATTTTTATCAATTTTGAGTTAGCATTGTTATGCAGTTATAAATCATTTTATGTTTTTAGCTTTTTTTTAAACTTTATTTTTGAGATTTTTAGCCGTAGGCTAGTTGATCTCGTCCATGAAAGGTGGGGCCTCAGAAGGAGGACCCCCAACAGAGTAGTTTTTTACAGTGTTTACTTCAACCTAAAATTGGTTCCTGGCTCGATCGTACATTTACACACCATATTAAAGACACAACATTAAAATCTGAATAAGACATAGCTCCACACCGGAGGAACCGGGAGGGCCCCCACCAGGCACAGATGTCCCAACAGCTGAAAGGAATTTAAAAAGACTAAACTTTAAAATACAAAATACACTCCGTGCCCCAAGCTTCCCATATTATGCTCACGATCCAGCGCTTGACATCGTGTAACGGTACTTCGTTGGTATAGCGAGGGGCAGATGGTCCTGCCCCAGCCAGAAATTCAGCTTCAGAGTTGCCTGGTATTCCGCAGGGCCCCGGAACCCAGCAGAATACCGTGTTTAGTGGCGCGGACTTCATCGTCGCCTGTACCCAGGGATGAGTCGGGGTCTCGGATGTCAGGGCTTGTATGACGCTGTGCGAATCCGTGAGGACCAGGATCGGTCGGTTGATGTTGTAGCAGCGATGAAGATGGCAGCAGCTTCAGCAGAGAAGACAGAACATTGCGGTGGTAAGCTGCAGCTGGTTGGTGTGATGTTTCCTGCTAGACCGATACCGACCCCGGCCCGAAAGCGAAATCCGTCCGTGTATCGGTGAGTGTGCGTAGGGTATTTTTCTCCTATAATTTCAGCTACAGTCCTTTTCATGGCCACGGAATTGTCTCCGGCTTAATTCGATTTTCGGTAATGGTGTTTGCCAGCATTTGCCTCCATGCCAGTGGATTCTGGCCACTTGGGAGAGATCTTCGTTGGCAGCCGTGCGGAGGAGTCTATTCTCCTCGTCGAGGAGGAAGATCCCTTGATTTCCAGATGCCTTCGAGATGAAAGCAGCGGCTTTGGTTGCGATAGTTGCGGTTATACGGAAGAAGAAAGGCAGGATGCCTGCGTCGATGCATGCAGCGTAAGCGGGCGTGGATGGCAGCAGGCCAGAGACAATTCGGACGTAGGTGTTGTACACTGGTGCTAACGTAGCTAAAACCTTATCTGTTGCGATGCAGGTCATCTCCAACCCGTATAGAAGGCGACTGTCGATAATGCTCTCGCCACGTGAAAACGGATGCTGCGGTTGTTCGATCTTTATTGTCGGGAAATGGTCCGGATGAGATTCACTCGGCTGCGGCAATTTTTCTTGACTGCACTGAAATGCTGTTCAAAGTTGAGGAATCGGTCAACGAGAACTCCCAGAACTCGGACTGTCTTCTTCAGCGGTATGGACTGGTTGTCGATTTTGATCGGTGGTCCGCTAATTCTGTGTCGAGAAGGGCTGATGCTTTTAGAGGCTGATAATTCAAAGCCTACTGAGTGGGTCCACCTGGCGACGGCGGAGACTTCCGCTTGGCCTTTCATCCTTGTACGTACTGGCGTAGGTCCGGCGGTGACGATGAGGGTGTCGTTGGCGTAACATGTTTTTAGCTGTGCTATTAAAAAAAAGGTGATTTGTTCAGGAAAGGTGGTTTGTTCAGGAAAGGTGGTTTGTTCAGGAAAACTGAAAAATAATACCAAATAGTCAAATTGTCTCAAACAAACTGTCCAATTAGGTATATAGTAAAACTACTCTACGAGGGTAAGGTGGTCTAAAATTGGTCCAAAATATGCTACAGGGTGTCGACTCAAAGTCGAAAATAAAATTCACTGACTTTCCCTGACTTTCCAGTCGGTTTTCAGAAATATTCCAGTCATCAAAACTTCGTTATTTTAACCTAAGAAGCTACAACGTGATGTGCTTTATTATACCGTAGTGTAAATTAAGGTTAGTTTAAAATGAGCAGCAGGGTAAGTTTTCGAAGATATCAAGAATAGCATACTCATGGCACGTACTACAGAACATGATACTAATACAATTTTTACAGAACATATGATCGACTACCTACGAAGGATGTGAATAGGCCTAGGGCTATAAATACATATTCTTATATAATAATGAATAACTACTGCTCACAACTAGGCTCACTATTCATTACTAACTAAAAATAGGAATATTTAATCAATGTCACCAAGCTCTCAATTTGTGTTCATAATTTCACAGCCAAATAAAAATCAACCCGTAGACGATCCTTTCTCTTAACTTATAAATTATTGTAAAATAGCAGAGCAGTGATTATTCTTGCTTTGGCAACCGAACCTGAGGATGCACTGATCATGCATTAGTCAGTTTCGTACTCTCTGGAACTGGAACTCCATATGACAACCACAGACATGGCTAAATAATTTAAGTTTAATTATCATTAACATTTTATTCTCTCAGTGAGTTCACATTACAACGAGAAATTACAAGTTGAATATGTGTTGATTTTCATTTTCGGATTACTTTTAAAAATGTTTATCATTTGAGCAGAACAATTTTCTCCTGCAAATTTTCGGCTTTTTTTGAGCATCTTGAGTTTTTGGAATCGAGAGCTTCTTTCATACGACGATCCTTGTCTACATGGAAAGCGAATGCGATTTTTCGAACTCGCTTAATAAGTTTATTCAAAATTTGTAAGTTTTCCAACCCGCCTGCATGAGTAACACCATCATAGATCTGACGTCGCGCTACGACTGAAGGCCCAAACGCAATGTGGGCGGAAGCGGAACGGAAAGTTTGACAATTGTCACAAATGACATCAAGTTGCCTAACCGCATTCGATTTGATTCTAACTAGTTTTCAATCCGACAAATAGGCTTAGGATAGGATTGCGCTTGGGCCTTGACTCTTCCCTCATGTTTTCAAAAATATATTCTGCATTTACCGAAAAACCTCTCTCTGCATTGGCGTTGCCATGCGATAAGCAGCAAATCATTTTCACAACCAACAATAGTTCTGAATACGCCGACCAATAACCTGTGCCAAAAAACGTCCAGTCGTTCCATTTTGCGATCTTATTGATCAAATGTGCATTTACCTGTGCAATATTGTTCAGATGATCAATATTAATGAACGTTTCCATAATGCCTCTAACCATTTGAGACATCGCGTTGCACAAAAAAGACACCATAGGGTTGTTCGTCTGAAATTCGCATTGAAATGGCTCAACTTCGACACCAACTGATTTGAAGAAACCTAGCTTAATACCACGTTCAGACAACTACAGAGTTATAACATGTTATAACGGTTGTCAAATAATTGCAACACAGAAACCACCATCAAGATAGTGCTATAACATGTTATAAATCTGTAATCTGAACTTACCATAAGCCATCAGCAGCGAGTCATTCAAACCGTTTTTAACATCTTGGTAGGAGCTGACGTTTTGTCTTTCTGGACGCCTTGAATAAATTTTCGTATTTGTGGAGTAATTTTGATTGCCCTCTGCAGGGCTGGTAGCGATCACTGCTGTCAGAAATAGTGATTTTAGTGACCATGTTGAATAAATAAGTGACCAAATAGTGACTTAAATTTGTAAAAATAGTGACTAAAAAGTGACTTAAGAGAAGGTACATCAAATAAATGTTTGATGTTTTAGACTTATTAAATTATTATTTCATAAACACTTATGTACGATATGAACCTTTAAAGCGACATATTCAATAGAAACTTTGTAACCAAACCCACAGTATTAGTCACGGTGTCTATTAATTTAAAAAATCTGGAAAACCAGGAATCTTCAAGGCATTTTTTGTTTCCCTAAAATACCTACAAGTCTCAAAGAATTTAAAAAATTTCTTACTAAGGAAAATTTAAAGAAAATAATAAATTTTAAAATACAACCATTTATTTTTTCTCGATATTTTCATTCACACTTTGAACTTTTAAGATTCACAGTGGATTAATCTTCAATAAGAAATAAAATTAAAAAAATAAATATTTTTTTTTGGATTCTGAAGACCACTGTCTTTCTGTAACGTTTCCGAAATTTTTCTAAATTTATGGAACTTTTGTGCTCCCGAAATTTTCATGGAATAAGAACGAAATAATTAATTTATATCTATGATTTTCACTGAAGTTCTCAAGATTTTTCTGAAGTTCATAAAACTTCCCTTGAATTATCGGCACTAATTTAAAACTTCTTCAATAGTCTAGACTTTCTTGGTGTCTAAACGATTACTGAATTTCTTTAAAGTTATCTAGACTACCCTGAATTTATCAGTATTTTTTTTAAGAATCCGCAACTTTACTGAAATTAATTGACGTGCCTTGTAGTTTCGACAATGTTCCTTAAGTATTATAACCATTATTAACACTCGCTTTTCCCTGAACTTATCTATGCTTACCTGAAGTTCTCTAAATTTGTTTAATGATCCAGCAAATTTTCTGATACATATTCATAATTCCCTGACGCTTCTGACGTTTTAGGATCAATCATAGAATTCTTGGAATACCCTATAATTCCACGGAACTCCTTGTAAGTTGCTGCAAATTTGCTGAAGTTAATGGGATTATTCTGAAGCTATCTGATCATCCTCGAAGTACTCGGAACTTCACTGAATATCATTTAACTATCTAGAAATATCTAAATTTAGTTCTCTGGAATTTCTA